GTCCATTGCCTGGGCCGGTCTCATATTTGGTGGACCGTCGGGACACTATGGCTATCTCGTTGGTTGACCACTTGTCGACGTTTAACGTCGCATGTCTCGGAGTCGGACGAGGCCAGTCTCAGCCGAAGGCTGTGTGTCCGTCGTTCCTCCTCCGAGCAGGTTCGCCAGATGAAGCCGGAAACTCGGTACTCGTGGTCCTACAGGCACTCCGAGCATGGGGGTTGGGGCCAGTAAGGGGCGATGGCGAGCCAGGGCATGATGGTGAGGGAGTGATAGGGTAGGAGGCGGTGATAGGGAGGGAAATGGGTCCCTATGATAATGATCCCGGGTTCCGTGACGACGTGACACGGTGACACATGTGTCGGTTAGAGTAGTGGGGGAGATAGGGAATATGTCCCAAGGCCTGATCGAGGTCCCACTCGCAGATTCGTTCATTCCCCGTTAAGTAAAGGAAGTTTGGGGGTTCCGCCCTGGGCCGTGTAGACAAGCAGGACAGCGGGAGTGCTCCTTATATCCCCGAAATTCCCGATCCCTGAAACACTCATGGTCAGTGATGTAAACGGGGGCGTCGATATTCATGTTGCAAGTTGGGGTGGAATGTCGGCCATTCGAGATTTAGTCGAGTTCAGGGTTCGCGGACGTGTGTGTAGGCAACAATCGTCTCCAACCAAGCTTACACCCGTATATTCGAGCCCTGTCCTTCAGTCAGAGGGGCGGAAGCCAGTGGCTCGCAAGACAGATCATCCTATAATGAGGCAACCTTTCAATAGTCTATTATGCCTATCCCATTCATGCACAAGCAGGATAACGCCTATCATCCATGCGTCTAAATTTGAATCAAGGTCCATGCAACACTTCCTGGGCCCATCAATCCGAAACTACGCAAGGGCCAATCACCGGGGATCAATCAATTAGACCCATCAAAAGACAGAGAAGGGGAGGGGAGTAAGACAATCATTCATCAACACTCGAGGAGAGAAAATGAGAACATACATGTCAACAAAAAATAGCAAATGGCTTAGAGGGATAGAAGAAGACGGGCGACTTGCGCTGAATACCAAGACTGCTCAGAAGGAAAGAAGAAGAATTGAAATGGCTTAGAGGCATAGAAGAAGAAACTCATCGCACACTTCCCGTCTCTCTCTCTCTCTCTCTCTCTCTCTCTCTCTCTCTCTCTCTCTCTCTCTCTCTCTCTC